GAGATTTTAACAATAAGTATAAATTTTGTTTGCATTCCCATGGGTTCCGGAAAAAATGTTTGTTCGTAGGACGGCGACGCGGCGCTTACGCGCTTTGACATTTTGTCTCTATGTAGTTAAAGCAGTACGATTGCTTTGAAAAAAAGTTCAGAATTTACAAAATATGCCAAAATAAAGAAATAAGACAAAGAAATAAAGATTTTTTTCAAAAAATGTAATTGTTTGTCAAATTCCTAGTTTTTCAAAAATCATTTTTCTCGAAGTAAAATTTTTTCAAAATCGTTTTTAAAAAAATAATATTTGGTACGGGAAGTTACAGCAATTTGCCTTAAGGCTAGATGCCATGCGCTTCACTAGTTAACTTCCCGTATGGCAAGTTATAGTAATCGCAAAAAAATCGAAAATGAAAATTTTTATATATCTTTACGTTTCAGAGGTTTCTGAACATTTTGGCATACCTTAGAAAAAATAGATGTATGTGTGTGTGTGTGTGTGTATGTGTGTGTGTGTGTATGTGTGTGTGTATGTATGTATGTGTGTGTATGTATGTGCGGATACAAATTTTCGTCGACGATTTCGGGAAACCGGATCAACCGATTTGAATAATTCAAAAAACATTTGATCCGTTTTGATAAGGAAACGTGCTGATTAGTTTTTGGCAAAGGCAGGTCAAGCCGTTCCGAAGATACGGGGCAAAAAGTTCCGAAAACGGTAACTCAGTTTTTAAGAGAACGGAGCGTCCGATTTTAATAATTCAAAAAACATTTTATTTGTATTGACAAGGTGAAGAATCGATACAACTTTCATGAAGGTAGGTCCAGCGGTTTCGGAGATATAGAGGAAAAAGTAAAAAAATGAGCCATTTGGCGGTCAAAAATGATCATTAGACATATGCACATCAAATTATCAGATATTTTATAGAGATTTTAACAATAAGTATACATTTTGTTAACATTCCTATCGGTTCCGTACCAATGCTTATGCGTTAGACAGCGACGCGGCGCTTACGCGCTTTATATTTTGTCCCTAGGTAGTTAAAGCAGTACGATTGCTTTGAAAAAAAAGTTCAGATCTTCCACAATATGTCAAAATAAAGAAAAAAAAAATTTTTTTCAAAAAAAAAAAAATTTTAAAAAAAAAAATTTAAAAAAAAAATTTTTTTTTTCAAAAAAAACTAATTTTTTGTCCAATTTATAGTTTCTCAAAAATCTTATTTTTTAAAACTAATTTTTTTTCAAAAATGTTAATCGTTTTAAAAAAAAAAAATAATTTTTGGTACGGGAAGTTCCAGCAATTTGCCTTAAGGCACGATGCCCTAATTGCCTTAAGACAGAATTCCACTTACAGCTAGTTTAATCCATACTTCGTGAGTACTGTTTATAACATTACCAGGAATTTATTATCCAAATTAAGTTCGTGGAAGCAAGTAATTAGCTATCGTTTTGAGCAATTTTTTTTGAGTAAAGCATGTAGATCAATAAATATGTTTAGATTCTAAGAAATTTTAAAAATATTTGTTTTAATTATATCTCATAAATAATTTTATGAGCTCCCTATTTCATATTACATGTCATCATTTTTAAAAATGATTCTGTGTGTCAGTTTCCCACCATGATGTGTTTATTTTCATACATAATAATATCAAAACTGGAATGCAGCATTTTGAAGGATAACTTAGATTAAGCAATATTATATTATGTCCGGAACTTTGCGAATTAATCTGGAATGATGGAGCACAACCATTATAAAAGTTTTCGAACGCCTGTACCGCCTCTCTATATGTAGTACGCCTGGCTTATTTCGTATTCATGCGACTTTGTCCTCTCAACTACGCCGCAAATTTATAATGTAATAATAAATACATGCAACATGTTAATTTTATATGGATTACTTTATCTAGTACATCGAAATAATGCACTTTCCTTGATGATGGTGATAAAAAAATTAAGGGTGTGAGTGCACAAAATTTTTTTTAATAAAAAATAACAACGTAAAACTATTTTACTATTGAATTCTGGCCAATTTTGCGGTAACATACACAAAAGCATAACGTTTCTATGCAACTGCAATCTTATCCTTCTTTCCTCATACGAAAAACTGTGAAAATGCTATCTATTTGCTATGCGATTATACAGCTCCTAGATTTGTTTCTAAATTAAGCCTGATCATACAAAAAGCATTTTTACAATTTTAGTACCAACAAAGAAGGATAAGATAGGGTTGCCATAACAACGACGTGTTATTCTTTCATTCCAGAATTAGCAAACATACAATATATTAAAATATTATGAATGCTATAGTTTAGTACGAAAAAACAAATATTCCGTTATTATTAAATGCACAGTGCGACTTTTTTAAAATATGCCTTTCATGAATGCAATATTAATATAACCAGAGCTAATATAGGTTAACCGAGAAATAGCAATATATAAACCAGATTCATTAAGGGCAAGAGCAAGCAATATTCTTGATATTTCGAAAGCTATCATCAAATTCCAGAATATAATCACCAATATACAGGAATATATCAGAATTGGCGCCATGTGGGACGAGATTACCTACTACGGATCTAATAGCATATTTACGAGCCATAGAACAAACATAGAACAGGGCCAAGTAAAAAAAATATTCAAATTGCATTTATTTTTATTCAAGAGTTTAGTTAAAAATGTATTTGTTGCAGTTCTTATTACAATCACTGATTTGTCACTGAGTTATTATAAAAGAAGATATATTTATTTATTATTTATTAAACATTTTCTTGCGCGGACTTTTCTTTTGGAAGTGAACAATAAGTACCAAAACTCTCCGCTACCACCTCTAGCCGGCGTAGACCATCTCGTGTAAAAGCTCAATGCCATGAAGATTGTCACCTTCGGGACCAATATAATAAAATGAAAATACGTCAGAACAAAGAAATTTGAATCAAAATCCAGACTTGGTTATGAATAGATAAATTCAGTAATTTGTTATTATTATATATAATATTTCAAACAAAACTTGCGATCTTAAAATACAGTGCACGCAGGAGATTCTACTTTTTCTAAAAATTGTGCAAATACAAATTAAAAACATACTAGACAATTATAAAAATCAAATGTAAACTTGTTGCACTAAATTTACATGTCATCTGGTCTAAGTCCAGATATCATATGCAATTTTTTTCATATCCAAATGTTGGTGGTAGCGCTTCTTTGAATTGGAACTTTAACACCTAAGAACATTTACGTTCTTCGTTGCTTATGAATTATCTGACATTGATATTTTCTGATTTTAGCAAAACATTGATCAGCTGTCCGTCTATTTTATCGAAACTGCTCAAGTAATTATAAATTGCATTACCGCGTTTCGGAGTGTATTGGATTTAGTTCACTTGGATGATATAAACGCAAATAACTGACGAATCGTCCGAGAAGTGATCAAGAACTGGTAATTGCTTCTGGAAATCGATTCCACAATTGGATAATAGATTGATGAGAAGCTTTAAGATGTAAAAACAATATTTTAAAACCTTTAAAAGATTTTAGTTAGGTTAATAAAAAGTCCTAATATATATTGAAATATTACTTCAAATCTTTTTGGTAAATGTATCTGGCACAAAATTCTTTAAGAAAACAATATATACTAATCATTCGTATTATTGCCGACTGTACAATTGTATAATATATAGGTGTAAAGTTTTAATATGTGAATCATTACCTTGTAAACTTAAAGCATTTTTTTAAATGCATGGCATTTAACTTTATTTCAACAGCAATATGAATTGATTATATGAGTGATTATATATTGATTATATATTGAAATATTACTTCAAATCTTTTTGGTAAATGTATCTGGCACAAAATTCTTTAAGAAAACAATATATACTAATCATTCGTATTATTGCCGACTGTACAATTGTATAATATATAGGTGTAAAGTTTTAATATGTGAATCATTACCTTGTAAACTTAAAGCATTTTTTTAAATGCATGGCATTTAACTTTATTTCAACAGCAATAGTGGATCTACTCCAGATTGTCACAATATTCTAATTTGAGTCTACCACAATTCCAGTTTCATCCTGATAGGATTCCAACCAGATTCAAGTGACTAATGACCCTAACTTCTACCGATCTAACTTCTAACATCTACCGATCTGACTTCTAACTTCTACCGACCCAATACTAACGATATTGTAACCAAACCAGATACTAATTCAATTTTAAACGAATCTCAACTAGATTCTTACTCAATATTGCTAGGGTTCTAACTATTGGGCCGATTCAGCCGCAAAATAGACCAATATTATACCAAGGCTGTATTAATTTCGAGGCTTCATACAAAATGCTACTAAGTACTTTCAAAATACCACATTTTTGCTGTGCGTTCAGGTGTTTTACACTTTAAATACAACTTCACTCATATGTTATCGTGCCATATCTCAAAGATGCAGTTATGATATCATTGTTTTTTGACATTTATGTGTTTTCAAGGTTAGGTTTTCTATCTAAAACGACTGACTGCACAGCAAGCACATGGGACTTTGACAGTTCTTAGTTCTTAGTACCACTTTATATGAAAACTGCTACATAACATATCCTTACCATGACATTGGTTTATTTCATGGCACAATCGGTCCCTAAATTGCTACTCTATTCCTATTTGATTCTGTTTGTATTCTGACTGAATTGTAACTAAATTAAAATTTGATTTTGGTTGGAGCCTGACTATTATATTTTTGTTCTTGATCTAACTAGGTTCTAACTGGATTCCAACAAGTCGCATGCTAGATTCTTATTTGACTCTGAGCAGGTTCTTACTACTAGCTAACTTGCGTCCCACTTGAGTCTAATTTCGTTCTAGTTTGATTCCAACCAGAAGACTGTTTTGGTTCTAGCTAAATTTTGATTTTGGTAGAAAGTCGATAATAGCACATATCGTGTAGTTCATAGCACTTGCCTCAAGACAAAATTCAAATTATATCTTGTTTAATTTGAAAACGAATTACTACTTCATACCTGTATTCAGGTGTTGGGCACCCTTGGGCCACGCAGAGTAAAACGGCACCTTCATCCTGCGCCACCTGGACTGACGACGTGTGTTCTACTATGCTTGGAGAAACTATACCACGATGTTCTAAAATAGAAAAAATAATCAGCACAACATATACAAATCAAATACTCTAATATACAGATTGTCCCAGAACTCAACGTCAAGAGGTGACTAGAGTTTTTTGAAACCAATTTTGAAAACTTTAAACTCATAGTCCAATAAAAAGTCTTAACTTGTCAAAACTTGAGTCAATCGAATAAGTAGAAGAGATTGCGGATCTAAGGTTCAAATAAACAAAGTTAATCACAATGACCGAAAAATGGTTACAGTTTCACCAAAGCTCTTTGTTGCACAATTTTCAAACAGATTTTTTTTCCAGAACCCTGTATCGGCTGACGTTGAGTTATGACACATCCTGTACACACACATAATTTTTTTTAATTAAATTTATCATTTTATGTTTTACCATTTTATTTATTACCATTTTAACGACTGCATACGTTTTTCATAATTTTCGACTATATATTATTTAACTGCGCTAATTCCCAAAACATCATTATCCGCAATAAATCTCCCGCTAATTAAACGAACAAATATTTACTGGCACTTAATAATTTCGCACACACATCGAAGATTTAATACCGAACAAACAATATTTTATTACGAATAGCTAAAAACGCATGCACCTGCACACACGTTTTTAATTACAACCGGGTTGTAAAAGTCCGGAAGGGGATGAAAGCCCGGAGTTCATTAGATCCAATTACGGAGGCGACCTTTGAATAAAAGCTCCGCGCCGAGCTTTCGGATTTTGTTTTGCAAATTAGATTTGCCTCAAGATTTCTGACGCGTTAACATATTCTTTTTGAGTTGATGAAGTGGGATCGGTTTTGGCGTTGAGCTCACTCGAAAAACTCATTTCGGGGCATAGTTTGGTAAAATAATTAATGAAGATGAAGAGAAAATTTAGATTATTCATATTTTTATTATTTTCATCTCTTCACAATTTCATGGTTTATTCTCATAGTTCATTTCTCAGAATACAATTTTGAATTGTTTAGTTCGAAAATAACGTTTTCCCTTTTACTGAAAAATAATCAATACAATTTCCATGTGATGTCTTTCAAATATATTTATAATATCTAAAATTGTACAAATTAATTAACTTATTTTACACATTCCATTTCATGTTTTTGGATTCTAAAAATGTATTTTTTACAAGTACAGACGTCAACTGTAATCAGTAGCTACGTACAAAACACGGAACATATGCACAGAAAACAAAGATTCTGATTAGAATTGCTTAAGCTCGCAGCGAAATCGTTAGTCTATAATATTTTAGTATGTTTTAGTATGCTATATCAGATTATAAAATCTATCGTTATATAAATTTTAACCCTTCCCACTTGCAAATTTCGAAATTCATATGTATTTGGCGCCAGAGCGGAAGCATCCGAGTGGAAAGCGTTAATTACATTTAATATACGAAGAAACTGTCCGACTGTTCTTTACCAAAAACTAATCGACACGATTCCCAACCAATATCTATCAAACAGCTTTTGAATTTTCAAAATCGTTAAAAAATTATGGGCTAAAGAAACGGCTCGGCCGATTGTGTGGCAAAACTAAGACTCGTTCTTGTCGAGTTTTATCAAATTTTTAGTATCGCTGTAGCCGTTTTTGGGAAAACGTCCAAAAAAAGTCAAATTTTAGTTCACATACACAATTATTTTTTTTGCGTCAAACGATTTGGAATGGCATGAAACGACAAAAATTAAGCAAATAGTATTTTCTTGCAAAAATATAAGCGTATCCTTCTGAAACGTGAAAGTAAAATAGTATTTTAAGTTTTAAAACTTTTTCAAATAAATTATGATTTATTAACTTCCCGTAGGGCAAGTTATAGTAATGGGCCAAAAATCAAAAATGATACTTTTTGCATATTTTCACGTTTCAGAGGTTTCTGAACATTTTGGCATACCTTCGAAAAAATGGATATGTGTGTGTGTGTTTTATGTGTCCGCAATTTTTCGTCCACGTTTTCGGGCGCACGGATCAACCGATTTGAATGGTTCCAAAAACATTCGATTATTAATGATAGGGAGATGTGCTGATTAGATTTTGGCTAAGACAGGTCCAGCCGTTAAGGAGATATGGAGCAAAGAGTGCAGAAAATAGAAATCGAGTTTTTGAGATCTCATGTGAATGATCCAAAAAACATTCAATTTGTAATGATCGGGAGAAGTGGTGGTTAGTTTTTGGCAAAGGCAAGTCTAGCCATTTCAAAGATACGGAGCTAAATGTAGAAAAAATGGCAGATTTGAGAGATTGAGCATCAGATTTGAATGATTCAAAAAACTTTCTGCTTGTGTTGACAGAACAACTGCTTTTGAGAAAAAAAAAATTCAATTCTTTTTTTTTATCAAAAATAATTCAGATTTTAATTTTAATTCTGGCTAAAGTTTTAAAGCTCATAAATTTTAAATAAATATTTTGACATTGTGATTCAGTTTATATAATTCTTATAAATATTCGACAATGTTACAGTATTTATAATAATCTATTTGAAAACACTTAAATTCCTCGAACATTTCGTTACGGTACGGGAAGTTTCAGCAATTTGTTTTAAGCACGATGCCATTCACCACTAGTTTTATATTTTATTATACCAATAATAAATCTTACCACCTAATTGCACTAATTTAATTACAAAACAAAACGAACCTTAACAAGAAATATATGAAACTGACCCAGTCGGAAGACCCCTGATAAAATTTAATCAAGTTGTTATTAACCTGGACACAAAAGGTGAAAATCAGTAGTTACAGCATGCAGTTTTCTTTATTAAAAACATGGTGGGGTAGTTCTGTAAAATATGTACATAGTTTATGAATCTAAATGCACCGAACACAAGAGAAATAAATTACGACAGAAAAGCATTATTTTTTTACAAGATAAAAATATATAAAAATATATAAAAGCCAGGTCATGCATGTTATGAGTCTTTATTATGCGTGTTTATATGTTGTATTCTTTTATGTACGCGAAACGATGGTTTCTATTCCGTATAAATATTAGTTAAAGTTTATGGAAAAATATAAATATGAATATATCAAGCGATTATTTGATGTATATTTGAAATTTATGGAATAGGTTGGAGTATTTATTATGCTTTGTAGAGATTTTGCAAGAGATAAATGAACTAGTGGTGCATGGCATTGTGCCTTAAGGCAAATTGCTGGAACTTCCCGTACCGTAACAAAATGTTCGAGGAATATTAAATATTTTCAAATAGATTATTATGAATAAATACTATAACATTGTCTAATATTTATAATATAAACTGAATTGCAAAGTTGAAAATATTTGTTTAAAGTATATTAGAAATTAAGTCAAAATTACAATTAAAATCTGAATTATTTTCGATATACAAAAAAAACTATTAAAAAAAATAGAAAGTTTGAAAGAAAAAATTGAAACTATTTTTTTCCAAAAGCAATAATTTTGTTAAAACAAGCAGAAAGTTCTTTGAATCATTCAATTCGGACGCTTAGTTCTCTTAAAAACTGCGATTTTTTGCACATTTAGCTCTGTATCTCCGAAATCGCTGGACATGCTTTTGTCAGAAACTAATCAGCACATCTCTATATCAATAGGAATCGAATGTTTTTTGAACCATTTAAATCGGTCGATTCGTGTGCCTAAAAATGTGGACGATACACACACGCATCCATTTTTCTGAGGTATGCCTAAATGTTCAGAAACCTTCAAAACGTGAAAAAATGTAAAAAATTTTAATTTCGATTTTTGAACGATTACAATGACTTACCCTACGGGAAGTTTACTAGTTGTGCATGGCATCGTGTCTTAAGGCAAATTGCTGTAACTTCTGTACTACAGTACCGTAATGACACATCCGAGGATTGTATTTTATGGTCATAATATATGAGCTAATAACTAATTTGAAGGCTAAATTTACTTATTCGGCGTATATAAGTGTATTTTAGAATTTTATCTAGAATTAATCTCAATCATTTCGGTATTCAAATATATATATATATATATATATTAATATATATACATATATATATATATATATATATATATATATAAATATTTTTTGAAATAAATTTACATTTTTAGCAAAATGTTCTTTGAATCATTCAAATCGAATGCTTTTTTCTCTCAAAAACTACCATTTTTGCTCATTTATTTCATTATTTTAAAAACGGCGGCCTCACCTGTCTTTGTCAAAAACTAATCAGCACGTCTTCCTATAAGTAGGAATAAATTATTTTTTGAATATTTTTAAATTTCCGTGTGCAAAAAATCGTGTACAAAAAATTGTATCCACACAAAACGCACATACACATAATTTTGTTCCAAACTTTGCCAAAATGTTCAGAAAACTGTAAAACGTGTAGATATGCATTATCATTTTCCATTTTTGGACGATTATATAACTTACCCTATGGGAAGTTATTGAATAGTTATTACAAATCTGCTATGGAACATTTCAGGCAAAGTCATCAGATCAAGGTTATATACAGTGTTGTTCCTTGTTAAAAATGTGCCCAAGAAATTTATATTTTGCATGGGATTAATAATGTACTTTGCAAAATCTCTTTAAAATTAATAATAAGGCATTGAATCTGCTTGCCCACTGGCTGTGTCATTATACCCTGCCTATGGGGTAAAAAAGACCAGATGACAAATTTTGACAAAATGAAAAAAAACTCAATTGTACAATCATGAATTAGATAGGTATTTTGATGTAGTTATTTTGGTTTTTACAGTATAATTGCCAAAAGTCAAATTGGACCTTTGTGCCCCGCCGTAACCGATGTAAAAATGCAATTTTTTTCAGAATTAAGTTCTAACGTTTAATTATCGAAGTATCCGAGAAAACTTTGTGATTTTATTATATTCTTTAACATTTGCGAGGCAGCCGTGTTGTGAAAAGTGCAAAATTAACTTTGAAACTTATGAGCTGAAATACTATGTATAATCTAATTGAATTACATGAATGCACATTTAAACAATGTATGAACTACTTACTTGTTCTTGAACGTCAGTTGGAAGTTTGAAGGATTAAAACTTTGGATTTGTTTACAGAAAGTAAAATAAAAAGAATTTAAATATTTTAATGATCAGGCACACGGCTTGCAAGAACAGGGATTACTTTGCAGAAAGAAGAGAAAGAAATATTTTGCAAAATTAATTGAATTAAATTAACTTTTGGATTCTCAGAACAGTGATTTGTTAATTTTATGTTTCTCGACTTTTGAAGTCATTCTGAATCGTTTGACACCAAAATTAAAGAAGTTTGTGATTGTCTGTATAAACCCAAAATTTGATCTATAGTTGACGTTATAATAATCTAA